CACCAAAAGTCACATATTAGATGATTCCATTTACAGGAAATGTCCAGAATACTGAAATCCATAAAGACAGATTGGTGACTGCCAGGGGTTGGGGGAGGGGAGTGGGAAGTGACAGCTAAGGGGTATAAGGTTTCCTCTTGGGGTGATGAAAATGTGTTGGGAACTAGAAAGAGGTGATGGTTGCATAACACTGTGAATGTACTAAATGCCACTGAGGTAGCTATTCACTTTTTTTTTTTTTGGCCGTGCTGCACAATCATGCCCCAACCAGGAATCGAACCCTGTGCTCCCTGCAGTGGGAGCGCAGAGTTTTAACCACTGGACTGCCAGGGAAGTCCCACTATTCACTTTTAAATGGTCAACTTTATATTATGTGAATTTCACTTCAATTAAATAAAAATTTAAGGCAGAGTTAAGAACACGACTCCAGGAAAACCAAGAGGCTGGGAAGCAGGAAGTCGACTCCAAAGGGGCTGGAGAGTCAGAGGGTCTCCCACAGCCCCTCCTGTGTTATTGCCCAGTGAGCACCTGTGCATGGGCTTTTTTTTTTTTTTTAAATAAATGTATTTATTCATTTATTTTTGGTTGGGTCTTCGTTGCTGCACACGGGCTCTCTCTAGTTGCAGCCGGGGGGGCTACTCTTCGTTGTGGTGCGTGGGCTTCTCGTTGCAGTGGCTTCTCTTGTTGCAGAGCATGGGCTCTAGGCACACGGGCTTCAGTAGTTGCGGCACACGGGCTCAGTAGTTATGGCTCACGGGCTCTAGAGCACAGGCTCAGTAGTTGTGGTACACGGGCTTAGTTGCTCCACAGCATGTGGGATCTTCCCGGACCAGGGCTCGAACGTGTGTCCCCTGCACTGGCAGGAGGATTCTTAACCACTGCGCCACCAGGGAAGTCCCTGTGCATGGGCTCTTGTCAACTTAGAAAAGGCACACCTAAATTTAAAAGGCCAGGGTATGCCAGCTCAGGACAGGGCCTGGAAGCTGCCTGGAGTGGAGGCTCCTGGTGTGAGGAGAGAGCAAGCATAGGTGAGACACTGGAGGGGGAGGGGGGCCAGGGGTGGGGTGGGGGTGGGGGTGCTGGTCTCAAAGACAGAGCAGGGGGGCTGCGGAAGGCTGGAGACAGGGGAGGGAGGGAGCACACTAGTGCTGGGGAAAATATGCTTCTGCAGCCAGAGGAGAGGGAGACCCAAGCAGGGAGACCAGCGGGAGGTCTGGGGTGGCCACACAGGCAAGGACAACCGTGGGCTGACTCAGGACCCTGGGAAATGGGGGGTGCTGGGCTGCAGAGGGCACTGGGGCTGGGTCACTGCAGAGAGCTCAGGCTGAGGGGCATATGCACAGGGGGACAGAAAGCAGGGCTAGGCTCCCTTTGGGCTGTAGACAGAAGAGGAACAGAGAAGTGGGCAGAGAGGGAAGAGGGAGACGGGAGAGGCTGGGGGGAAGGCGGCCAGGGGCGGAGGGCAGTGGTGAAGAGGTAGGGCTTGGGGGGCTGGGCAGCACAGCCCACCACTCCCCAGGGGACGGCAGGGAGCTGGGCCTTCTGCTATCAGGGAGAGGGAGAGCAGGGGGCCCTGAGGGAAGTGGGTCCCCAGAAGGAAAGTGGACAAGAGGGTGTACACGGGCACAGGTGTGAATGTGAAAACAAAAGATGCAGACGTGTGCACGCACACGTGGACATAGAAAAACTGCCCCAGCCACAGACAAAAACAGACACACAGAAATACATGCCACAAATGCTCACACACAGGCATAGATGCACACACCAGCCACACATACACAGGACACATGCAGACACGGAGCCAGGCACACAGCTGATGTTTATAAGAAATTAGATGCATGCACAACCACAGACATCCAGACCTCCGACATGGAGCCATAAGTACAAGGACACATGGACACTGAGACACACGGACACTGAGACACACGTGTAGACAGACACACATACACACACTTTCTGGCCAAAACAGACTTGCCTGTAGATGCCCATGAAGGCCTGCACACTGTGAATGCACACACCAGTGCAGCACACCCATCCATGTGGCACCGTGACCAACCCCCTGGGAAGGGAGCTCTGGGCACCCCCATTTAAGATACCCCTGGCTCGGGAACCCCAGCACCTGGGCCTGCCTGGGAAAGTGAGACACAAACCCCGCCTGCTGCCCAACGGGCTCACCCAGCCCAGCCCAGGGTCAGGGAGGAGGCAGGGCTATGCCTCACGTGCCCGCCGACACACCCATTGCCACGCACCCATTGCCACCAGCGGTAGACACTCAGTCACCAACGCAGACAGCTGGGATTGAGAGGGATCTTGCAAAATCCTCCCGGTCCCTCAGGGTTCAGCTAAAATATCCCTTCCCCCAGGGAACCTCCCCAGGCCCCTAGGGGCACTATTGACCTTCTTTGTGAATAATGGTTCTGCCATGCCCAGCTGTGCGACCTTGGTTAAGTCACTTCACCCCTCTGTGAAGTGCTTCGTTTCCCCTCTGTAAAAGGGGGATAATGAGAGCGTGTGTTGAATACATGAATTAATGGAACACACCGCTCCCCTCTCCCACATACGGATGGGGAAGCAGCTTCCCTGGGCTCACAGTCAGTCAGCTGCAGACAGCTGCCCCTCCTTCCTCCTGCTTGGACCAGTCCCACCCGGTGGGACCAGGTAGAACATGGAGAGGGCGTGGCCTTATTCTCCCCTCTACGCAGGAAAATAACCCCGCTCTGGAGCAACTTGGTGAGCGTGGGACCTCACGGCCCTACCCAGCTGGGGTGGGGGTGAAAACCTTAAACCCTGAATTTCTGCTCAAATGCCTTCAAGGAGGGCTGAAGAGGTCACTTCTTCTGTATGAGCATGGAGATCAGAAAGGGCAGAAATGAGCCTGGGACTCTTCACGCCTGAGGTTTGCTCATCTCCCGTCCCCACCCACCCAACAGCCCCCCACCCTGCAGATGCCGGACGTGGGGCTGAGGGGCTGCGGGCAGGGCCCTCCCCGGGCATGGGCTGCATCTTTCTGAGAACAAGCGCTTAGGCTCCGTGGTCCTCGGCCTCATGCTCAGGAGTGGCCGCGCTGAGGCAGACAGGTGGACTGGGGCTCCAGGTGAGCCAGCAAGCGCCCCCAACCTCAGTTATAAATGACCCAACCCGAGGCCTGGGCTGACCAGACCGACTTCCTTTTCCCTAGAATTCTCTGGAGCCTGGGTGGACAAGGAAGTGGTTCTGCGAGTCCCCCTCCCCTGGCCCAGGACAGCTCAAGACCTACCTGTCAGACAGCACCCAGCGCATCAGCTGTGCGAGAAGGCCAGGGTCATATCCCCTTCCCAGAGAAGCTGTGTTCTCCAGGCACTTCCCAAGCCCTGTGCCCCAAGCCCTGTGCCCCAACCCCAGGGAGGTCTCAGTCTCCTGCACTCCCTGAGCAGGTCTCCCCATCTGTAACCTGCCAAGAAGGCCGAGAGCCGGCCCAGTGACCCCCAAGGACCCTAATGCCCTGGGAGCTAACAATTCCACACACAATTGCATGCGTGTGGTGGAGACGCAGGTGGACATGCTGGCCTCTAGGCCTGGGCCTGAGTTGTACCAGCCCACCGGGGCAGGCCTGTGGCCTCGCACCCAGCCCAATCCCACGGGCAGCCGCAAGATCTAACCATTGCCAGGTTAGGACCCAGTGTGGGGGACCAGGTGAGACCTCACACACTTGGAAAACTGGGATGACAGAAACACCCAAATCAGGCAGTGACTCACAAACTGACAGACAGATGGACAGACCCCCAGAGCTGGACGTGCGGCCAGGAGCGCTCTAGCTACAGGTCAGGCAGCCCCAAGAATTCTGGTTCTAAAATCCCCATCTCAGCCCAGGACATCCCTCGAGCCAAGACCCAGGGCGGCCCCTCCAGGGAGAGAAGCAGGACCCTCCCCAACCCAAAGACAAACTACAAACAAACACCCCCTTCCCAGGGTCCAAGGGTATAGGATCCTGAGGGAGTTGCCTCCTAGGTCTCAATGCACTCGGGGAAACGGAGGCCAAGGGGAAGGGGCTGGCCCAGGGCGCCCGACCGCCACTCACCGGGCTGGGCTGCGCTCCCTGCTCCTCTGATCTTCAGCCCCCAGGTTCCCAGGGGCAGGGTGGGCGCACTGCCAGAGGTCTGGACCCGTTCTGGCTTTTCTGGGGAGCCACCACGACCTCTGAGTACGCTGAAGTCACACCCTTCTTCCCTTCCTGAGCGCGGGCGGGTCTGGGCTGAGGGTACCCGATAACCTCCCCAGCACATCTGTGGGGCCCCATCGGAATCCCAACTCACAGAGCAGGGAGGTGGCCCCTCTGTGACAGGAAACCCCGGCCCAGATGTGCAGAGCCTCTGGCCCCAGCGTGCAGCCATTGAGGGGAGAGGGGGCTCCAGGTGGCCTCCAGGCCCCTGTCCTGTCCCCCCAGCCAGGGGAAGCCCAGTGTACAGACTCCCAGGTGCACACTCTGACTGGCCCCCTCCCACCCCTGCTCCAGGAGAGCCCTGGTTGCAAGAACTGACTGCTCCCGTGAGGGACAGAAAGAACTCAGGCGTGGTCCAAAAGAAAGCAGGCAGGAGCCTGAAGGAGAGGTGCTTTAGGGCTCCCCTCCTTGAGGGGATTCTGCAACAGGCCAGCCACACCCAAGGTCCAGGGAGGCTGGGGGACCCCCAGGCAGGAGGGTCTGGGAGTCTCTTCCCTGTTCTGAACCTTCTGGGCTGTTCAGAAGCAGCAAGTAATGAAGAGAAAGCCTGGACCTCAGAGCCAGGCAGCCCTGGACAGGAATCACGTGACCCTGGCTAAGTCACTCCACCTCCCAGCGCATAGGTCCTTTGTCTGGAGAACAGCAATAGCTCATCTACGCTCTTGAGGTGAGAACTGAGGGAGGTGAGGCCCGGAGCCGGCAGAGCGGGGAGAGTCCAGGACCTCAGGCAGAGGGGCCCTGGGGAGCTGTGGGGCAGGCATGGCCAAGGCCTGGACAACCCCAAGGACCACAGCCTGGCCTACTCACTACAAGCTCTTTATTAACAAGTTGATTAAAAAAGAAGAGAGATAGAGATGTAAAAATACTTTTTTTGGAGGCCCCAGGAAGGGAAGGCACTGTCAGAATTCACTTGGCCAGGAAAGGCAACAGAGCCAGAGGCAGAAGGGAGATCAGGCCTTCTGGGGAGCAGCCGGCCCACCCAGGACGCTAAGAGGGGGAAGGCTCTGGCCTCAGGCAGGGAATGTGCAAATGCCGAGGCCCCGCAGGGAGTGATGGGTTGAGGGGCTTCCTGGAGGAAGCCCTGAGCACCGTGTTCCCCTGCAATGGGCAGACACGCGTGTCCACGTGAGAGCCAGTGTCTGCACGCAGCTTACATACACAGAGCGGAAGGAGGAGTCCCCCGACAGGAACATCCCAGAGCTTGAATAAAAAGCTTTGAGAAGTCTCTGGAAGCTTGAGGACAAGGGGAGAGCCTGGAGGCTGCTGTTCCCCTCAGGGCCTCAGGAGCCCAGACCCTCCTGCCGATGCTGGAGGACCTTGATGACACTGCCAATGCCATCCTCAGGAACCTGCAGGCAGGTGGACAGAGGGAGGGGTCAGGGCTGCCCAACTTCCTGGGCCGGCTGGGGCCACCTCCTGCCACCCCACCCCCTCAACGTCCCTCCAGGGGCCCTGGCCCCAGCCAGCAGCGCTCACCAGGGCATGGTCGAAGTTGAAGGTACTGATGTAGTAGGCGGAGATGTCGGCCGCAGCCAGGGGACCTGCGATCTGGGCCACAATCCCACACTCATCTGAGGGTTGAGGAGAGGTCCATGTGGATCGCCCTGATCCCCACCCCCACCCCCAGCCCTTCCCAAGCCCCCGACACATGAGGTGCAGCCCTCACCAAAGCCCAGGGGCTGTCCGCCGATGCGCACCATCCTCCACAGCTCCCCTGAGGAGCTGGTCAGCAGCAGGTCACTGGGGAACCTGGGGAGGCAGGTGGGCAGTGGGCAGGGCACCCCTGTCCCCTCCTTGCCCCACTATGAGCTCCCTGGGCAGGTCAGCCTGGTGACCTCGGAGTCTGCCGCTCTACCCCCTCCCTCCCTGGGGCTGACTTAGGGCCTATGTCCCACCTAGGGTCAGGGGTCACATACTTTTTCTGCGTTTCAGCATCCATGACAATGGAGATGTAGCCCTCAATGAGGGAGAAAGCAAAGAAGGTGATGGAGCTGGATCCAGGACCACCGGAGGCTGCCTCCTTAGGGGGACTGGGGAGGGAGAGTAGGCTCAGGTGCTCTGTCCACTCCACCTCCCTGTTGGCCTCCACACCTGGGAAGGGACTGGCACAACTGGCCCTGGGCAGACCCTCCTGTCCCTGGGCCACTTTCTCCCCTTCCAAGCACCCTGACCTCCTGCTGGTGTAGGTGGGGATGGGGGAAGATGATGAACCCTGCTTGTGCCAAAGACACAGAACCCAGGGCCGGAGGGCCTGCCAGGGCACAGCTCAGGGGTGGCTCTGCCCACACCAGAGGGGAGGGCTCCAGCTGCGGCATCAGGACCTTGCCTGAACCTCAGTGCACGACACATGTGCATCGCAGGCTGCCAGGAACCCCAGATACAGAACAGGGCACAGAATCCGCAGAACCAAGGGATGGGTGGAAGGTGGTGGGAAAGAGCACGGGGAACAAGATATGAGGACAAAGAGACAAACGCAAACAAGGCCCACCTGTGTGAATAGAAGAGGACATCAATGAGGGTGGTGGCGATGGCTGGCAGCGTCTCAGGGTCCAGCGTGAGGACACAGAAACGGTTCTCTGGGCTCTGGATGGGATGGACCGTGGGGCTGGGCCCTGCTCCGGAGGGACAAGGTGGTGGCAGGTGAAAGGGCGACTGTGGGCTGCGACGCCCCCTGGTGGCCAGCCAGAGAGGAGGCCTGGGCTGGGCGCCGGGTCACGGTCTACATGCAGGTACCTGCCTGAGTTTTCCTGGCCCCATCTCCCTATCTTATGAGGGGGTCAGTGTCAGCTGGTCTCCCTAAGCCCACAGACCCACCTGCACAAGGGAAGGGGCCCAGTGGGAAGAGGAGCCCCTGCCCAGGCCTGGGTGTCAGAGGGCGGCCCTCACCATGCTGGGCACGGGGAAAGCCGTTGCTGGAATCATCCCTGGCAACGGGCACAGGCTCCCCGCCCACCTCTCGATAAATGTCGAACTCCTGGGCCAGCGTGTGGATCACCACGGACAGGTCCTGCTCTCGCACCTGGGCCACAGGAGATGGCACAACACATGGGTCCCCAGGCACCCATGCCCACCCTGCCCCGCACCAGCACCTGCAGGAAACTCACCAGGATGAAGTCTGTCTGGTAGGTGGACAGCATCAGCACCGACACGTGGTGCTCGGCCAGCGGTGCAATTACTGAGCGGGCGATCTTGGTGACCCCAGCAGCCTGCACTGCTGCGCCACTGTGGGATGACACGTTCAGCACCAGCCACGTGGCCTCAGCCACTTGCAGGAACTCAGATGGGGGCAGCTCTGTGGGGCAGGGGGCACATGCCCAGTCAGGGCCTACAGGGCTGGACCCTGCCCTCAGTTTCCCTGTCTGAGCCTTGGAGAGTTCTACCAAGGTCAGGTCAGGTCTGGAGACTGGAGCTGTCTTCCTCCCCCAAGTTCTGCTCCTGAGACCTGCATGTCTGCAAGGACTGAGAGGTGCTTCAGGTGTTGGCCTGTCAGGGATTGTAACTTCCCAGTTAAGATCGGAGCTCCAAATCCAGACAGAGCTGGGTTCCAATCCCAGCCTCACCATTTACTTTTTGCTGACCTGGGGCAAATGATTTAACTTCTCTGAGCCTTAGTTTCCTCCTCTGTAGAATGGGATGACAGTGTCCTGTGGGATCACAGATGCCTTATACCACATGGCACCACCAGGGGGAGCCAGCAGACCACGTTGGCTGGGGGACGCCCTTCCCTCTGAGCAGACCCAGACTTTTCTGCTGCACAAATAGGGAAACTAAGGCCTGAAGTGGTGCTATGCGGGATGGACCAAGCCCCAGTTGGCTGGCCTGAGGCTCCAGGCCTGTCAGGCTGGGTCAAGCTGGCAGGAGTAAAAGGCAGATGTCAGCTCCAGGGACCAGGGAGGGACCAGGCTGGCGTCCAGTCCAGAGCAGGCGCCACAACCAGGCGGGCTGCTAATCGCCCAAGCACAGCTAGGAGGCCGGCCAGGATCCTGCCCTGGGCTGGCTGCCTGCATTCCTTCCCCAACCCTCAGACTCCTGGAGTCGCCAGACCAGTCCAGGAGGGGGTGACCCACACCAGGGAGAGAAGTCCAAGGAGAAATAGTCCAAAGGCAGATGGGGGTGGTGGTGAAACAGCCACAGAAACCCGATTCTTGCTCCAGAACTGTAACTGAGGCCCTGTTGCTGGCCTGCGGCTGCTAAGTGTCCTCCACACACAGCCCCATTATAAAGCCCTCGTGGGACCCTATAAGATCAGAACCGTAACTATACCCACTTTACATAAGCGGAAACAAACAGCTCAGAGAGGGGAAGTGACTTGCTCAAGGGCACACAGCCAGTGAATAGTGGAAATGGATTCGAACCCAGATCCATCCTCCTTCAAGGCCCCAGCTCTTGCGACCTTGGATCCTAACATTCGGTGAGAATCTGGCAAAGAACGCAGTTTCCTTCCCCTACTCCCCCTCCCCAGCCCAGCCCCCACCTTTGAAGCCCTCCTCGTCCACCATGAGCGTGTAATCCTCGGGGGTCTCCGTCAGGCTGAAGAACTTGCACCTGGTTGGGGGGCGGGGGCATCTTCAGCCTGGGTGGGGCGGAGGGGGCGGGTAGACCCCCGCCGGGCACCTCCCTGCCCCCTCAAGCCTCAGTTTTCTCCCCAGGACGGTGGGGTGTGTGCCCCATCTCCGGAACTGCGGACTCCTTTCCGCCTCCCCGACCTCTGCAGGAGCCCCCTGCCCCTCCATTCCGGGAAGGAGGAGAGGCTCACCCGCGGCGACAGTCCCGGAGCGTCGGACCTTGGGCCCCCAAGACCAGCCCCTCTGACCCGATGGGAGGCATCTGTAAAAAGCTCCCCGCGGTCGCCAGGAAGGAATGCCCCCACCTGACACCACTAGGAGTTAAGCATTGACCATCCCAGGCTGTTTGCGCCTTAACCGGCCCTGGGAGGGGGCCTCACGGGGCCGGATAGGCGGCGGTCCCAGGGAGCGTAGGCCCAGGCCGGATGGCGGCCGGGGGCGGGGGGAGGGAGGGTGGCAGAGAGGGCTCTCCCCGCCTGCTGTCGCTGGCCCCGCGGCGGTCCTAATCTCCCGACCCCTTCCCAAAGCGACAGTGGAGCCCACCCCCATATGTGCCCCGAACCCGGGCTCGCACCGGCTTCGGCGGGGCAGGAAGAGCAGCTTGATGAGCGGGTGGGTGTAGAGCCAGAGACCGGGGCGGGCGAGGCTCAGCACCCGCACCCGGTGCTCTAGGATGTGCAGCTCCATCGCTGCCCGCACGGAGCCGACCCCGCTGCCAACCTGGCCCAGGCCGTGCTGGGGGCGGGTCGGTGGGGGCGGTACCGGGGGGCTTAAAGGAGCCGGTGGGCGGCCGAGTCCACGCCGCCACCTACGCCAGCTCCCTGACGGCCACGCCGTGCGGGACGGGCGGCCAATCCAGGGTGGCCACGCCTCCTTCTAACGCCGGAGCCACACTCCTCTCCTTCCAGCCCGCCGAACTCCGCCCCTGCTGCCTCCTCCCCCTCGTCAGTGGCTCGGGAATCACCCTCTGACCCCACCCGCGTCGAGTCCTCTAGGCCCAGCCCGTGCCTCGCCCCCTCTCCGGGCTCCGCCCTTTCCGTTGGACGCCCGCTGCGGTGGGGTCCGGAGCCAGCGGATGCTTGGGGTAATTTCTGTCCTTGGGCCCGCATCTTATGATTAATTTCACTGAGCCTTGGAGGGCCACAAGACGAACCGGGGCTGGGCTGGGACAGAACGCTGCCCCCAAATCCGTGGAACACGGAGGGGTGGGGTCCACTGTGCAGCCCAGGCGACCCTGTGGTTCTCAGCCAACAGTGTCCTGGCGTCTTTCCCCCTCCTTCCTCTCATGGCTCAGCATGGTGCAGGGCCACCAGAGCTGGCTGGGGTGGCGGAGACAAAAGACCCCCAGCAAGGGCTGTCCAGGACTGGTGTTGATACGTACCCCTCCGTGCTTTGTGAACCCTGTCAGTGGACTGACAAGGTGAAACCTAACCTGGACTTGGTGGCCCCCACATCTGTTCCTCTCACCCAACTTTCAGAAAAGGGAGGGCTCCAGCCACCTCTGAGCAGCATGCTGTGGGGTAGGGAGCTGAGGGTGGCCAGGCCTAACACTTGCCCAAAACTCAAACTTTGGGGGAACAGGGCTATGCATCTGGGGCTCACTGGGTACTCAGCTCTCAGCAGAGACTTAAGCCTGCAGTCATTAGCAGAACTTACGTGGCCTGAGCACATCTAAACTTGCTTCATGCCCAAGCAGGCCCCCCCAGCACTGGCAGACACCCCAGATCTGAGGCTTGATAGTGCCAACTTGGGCTCATTTCAACATTAGGGCTGGCCTCCTCAGGTCTACGAAAACCCCAGTGCTGAGCAGGCACCAGCACACCTAGGCTGGCTCCTAGCAGGATGGAACACGCTCCAGGGGCCCTTGTCTGGCCTGAGCGTCTGCAGGCCTCAGATGCGAGGCTTTGAACCAAACAGGTTAAAGCAGGCCTCAGGTCTGATTGGGATCCAGCAGGCCTGAGCAGGCCTCCTGCCTGCTCGGGGGCCTCTACTGTAGGCGAATGAAAGTGGGGCAGCACCTTTCCCGCTGGACTCTCCGGCATGGTGGATCCCAGTGGAACACTGAAGCCACCACATCCTGGCCAGTCCCCTGGAGGGCCAGGGGGAGGGGAGTGTCCTCTGAACCCCTCATCTCGTTGATGGCAGGTGCAGATGGGGTAGGGAGCCACAGGGGTGAGGGGTAGGAGGTAGGATGTGGATCGCTTGCTCTGACAGGTTCATGCGACCCTTGACGTCCTCAGGCCTCAGTATCCCCAGCTGTACCAGAACAAGATGTTCCAGGCTGAGGCCCTGCAATGCCTAAAAGCTCCCAGGGAGGCTCTACTCCTCTCTCTCCCCCCTCCCCCATGGCCTGGCCCAGCTTGGTGGCCTGCCAGGAACAGCCACTATTGTTTGACTGGAAAAGCTGCTTCCTCAGCAGAAGGGGGGCCTCTCCCAGGGACACCCTGTCCTCGCCCTTCTGGTCATCAGTTGTGACCACAGTGCCTGCATGGGTCCTCGATGGCAGAGTCCGGTCACCCTAGTCAGGAGAGGTAGTGAGGGGCTCTGGGTACAAATCTGGATCAGCTTCATCTTTCCCACTCAGCTCCTCTGTTTCCTCATCTGTAAAATGGGGATAATAATAAAGCCTACCTGATCAAACACGTGACACAACCAGTGCAGCCAGGCATATTATAAGTGCTCAGTAAATGGCAGGCGACCTTTTATCACAGATCCAGATTTCGCCCCGCACCCCTCTAACTTTGATGGAGGCCTGGGCTGAGCATGTGAGGGCATTCATGATCACCCACCCTTGGCACCAGCACCTGACCAGAATGAGCACTCAGTACCTTACTGGGGCCCGAAGTGGCATCCAGGCCAGCCCTTGGAGGAGGAAGACCCTGAAAGGACCTCCTTAAGGAGCCCCTCCCCTTCTGTGATGGGTAGGCATCAAAGCCTGGGAGCAGGCCCTGCTTTGCCCCAGCACTGGTGACCCTCCCTCATCCATGGCAGATGGTGGCCATGGGGCAGAGGGGATGGAGTAAGGGGATACAGGGGCCAGGAATAAGGGCTGGCCCTAGACCTGGCATCTCCTCTGGCAAAGGTACTTCTCAGAGAGGTTCTAGTGCTGGGCTGTGACCAGGATGGGGGGCTCTGGAGGGTGTGCAGAAGAGATGCTGAGCACCAGGGTTGGCACCCCCTTCCCAGTCCCTAGCTGCACAGCAGCTCTCTATACAAGCGTTGTTTTATTTCTGTACAAAACCATGTTTCTATTTTACACAAAGAGCACCCCACCCTTTTCCCCTCCCTTTCCCCTCACGTCAGTGCCCTAGCCCTGGGGAGCATCCCCTCAGGAGGCGGGTGCTGAGTGAGGCCCCACCCATCGGCCCTCACTTCTGCCTGCCCCAGCTGGGCCGGCCCGAGCTCCACTCTGGAGAAAATAAATAAGGAGGCTCAGGCAGAATCTGTGCTGGGCCAGCTAGACTCTCTGCCGCCCAGGGGCCAGGCAGCCAGGCCCTCAGAGAGTGGGCAAGCCCTGGAGTGTCAGTCCGTGAACCGTGTAGGTGTGTGGAGACCCCAGCCCAGGGGCCTGAGCTGCCAGGGTTACAAGTAGGTGTCCTCACTCTCCTGGGACGTCAGGCTCTCCTGGGAGCAGTGGTAGGCTGAGTCCTGGGGAGCTGAGTCTTGGGGGTCCTGGTAGACCGGGTCCTTTGGGTGCACATCCCGTGGGGGACATGCGTCTCCCGCAGCAGCTGCCACCTTGGCTTGACTTGGGGTCGGGGGCTTGTCCCACTGCCCACTCGCCTTCGCCTGCTTCCGTTGCTCCTTCTGGACCTGCTTGGGCGGCTTGTACTTGCCTTTGGAACCAGGGAGGGGGGCATCTGGGGGCAGGCGGATGGACGGTGAAGGTTGCAGGGTGGGCCACGGGCCTGGCTCTGCCTCCAGGATGGCCTTGGCACCGTGCAGCCTGGGTGGAGAGTGGCACTGCAACTCACCCCGGGTATCCTGCCAGCGCCGCAGCTGGATGAGGTGCTCACGCTCTATCTGACGCTCTGTCACTGGCAACTCTACCACCTGTGGGGGCAATGACAGGCGGGTGGGCACCAGGAAGAACCTTCCCTTTCTGCGTCCCAGCCTGGGCCCCTGCTCTCCCTCAGCTCCCCAAGCCCTGGTCACTAAAGGCTGACCACGGGAAGGGTGGCGGGTCTGGACCCTGTGGTGGTCACAAGTCCCAGAAGTGAGTGCCAGGTGAGCCAGGCACTTGAGACCCATTGCCTTAGAGGAGAAAGCTCATGAGTCCACTTGCCTAAATATGTGTCACCTCATTACAGCCCCAGAGAGACAAAAATCCACAAAAGAAAGAAAAAAAGGCTGGGACTTTGGTGGTGGTCAGTGGTTAAAACTTTGCCTTCCAGTGCAGGGGGTCCCTGGTCGGGACCGCTTCCCTGCTCGGGAAGCTAGATCCCACATGCCTCGGGGCCAAAAAACCAAAATATAAAACAGAAGCAATATTGTAACAAATTCAATAAAGACTTTAAAAATGGTCCACAAAAATAAGAAAAGAAAGCCAAGGCCGTGGTTGTAGGGCCAGGGAGGATGCGGGTGGTGGGTTGCACCTACTTTTATTCCCTAGAACCTAGGCCTGTTCCCCCTCTTCTTGTTCAGACAGAAGAATGGGGCCTGTCCACACTGCTCTGGGCTGCTGAGCACAAGGCCTCAGGGGTAGAGGGCTACCAGGCCCCCCGCCAAAGGGCCCTCAAGTCTCCCCCTCCCTCCCGGTGGCAAGGGGAAGGTGTGGGCTGTACCTCCTGGACCAGGAAGGCCTCCTGCATGATCTTGGGGCTGAGGCTCCGCAACCGCTCGATGGTCTCATACTGGCCTTGGCAGGCTTTGAGCTTCTCAGGGGAGCCCAGTGCGTGCTTCAGCAGCACCAACCCCACCCGGAAGATGATCTTGACTCCTGCATGGGGGAAGCGGGCAATGAGTGCAAGGGGTCCTTTAGAGAGTTTCTCTGGAAACAGAGGCCTCCTGTGGGCTGGGCTGGGGGCAAGGGTGCTCCCCTGAGCCCAGCCCAGTACCTTCGCAGAAAAACATGTCCCAGACACGCAGCACGGAGCTCCAGGGCAAGGTGCGCGAGAAGGCACACATGAACCACTCTGTCATGTAGAGCAGCGGGTCGATCTTCTGCTGGCTGAGGTGCTTGTGGGCCACGGGAGACACCTTCTGTAGCAGCGAGAAGAGGATCTCCCCATCCAGCTGGATGGCCTCCTGGGGGGACAGTGAAGCCACAGGGCCATAACCATGGGCCCACAGCAGCCAGGGCGGGAACTACGCCCGGCCCCAGCTCCAGGCAGGCATCCATTCGTTCCTCAGGCGGCTAATGTTGCAGGGTGTCAAGCTCATGCTGGGTGCTGGGATACAACAATGAGCCAACCAGACACAGCTAAGTCCCCCTCATGGGGCATGTCGTGCAGAGGGCCAGACAGACATGAATTACAGAAGCAATGAGACCAGAGGGAGGGAAGAGGGAGGGGGCTGAGTGACCAGAACATGGCAGGAACAGGAACACTGGGGGAGCGTGTGCCGGAGGTGCCACCTGTCAGAGTCAAGGACAGCTCCGGAGGGCTGAAAGCTGAGGGAAAAGTAGAGTTAGAAGTGGAAGGAAAGGGGCAGAGGTTTAAGCCTATGACAAGGCCGAGGCAGGGAGGAACTCGGTGCACTGGAGGAACAGCAATCCTGCCCAACAGCCTTGCGGCTGGAGGCAGCAACGGAGGGAGTGTGGGACTGATGAGGCTGGAGCCTGGGAGCCCTGACCCTGGCAGGCCTTGGGACTTCAGCCTGAAAGCAACAGAAGGCTGGGAAGGACTTAAGCGGGGACAGGAATGGCTTAGAGAGTTAAGGCCTAGACAAAGGGCATCCAGGCTGGGGCGGGTCTGAGGCCAGGGCCCAGGCCCAGCAAGTACTCACCAGTTTCTCACTGTAGTAGCCGGGCAGGTACTTCTCACAGATCTGCACCAGGCACCAGAAGGCTTGCTGTGGGCAAAAGAGACGTGAGGCCTTGCTGCTGGCTGTTCCCTGCCCGCCAGCCGCTTGCCCGCCCGAGGCCTGGTGGTACCTCAGCAGGCATGTGCATGAGCAGGACGGCGGCGATGGGCGCCTGGGCCTGGCAGTAGCCCTCCTCAGGTCGGTACAGTGTGTAGGCCTTCAGCACACGGAATAGGTCCTGCTGGCTGTGGAGAGGCCAAGCGGGGCAGGAATGACAGGTGTGACTCTGCCACCCACTACCCTCACCTGTGCCCCACCAGATCGGACCTGTCTCAGAATTGCACTTCCCTGGAGAGGGATGTGACCTGATTGTGGTCACCAAGGGGTCAGTCTCCCACTGTAGCACATCGACTCTCACCTCCCCCATTTGACAGGTGAAGGCAGCGGCTCAAAAAGAAAGCAGGGGTCAGGGCCAGGGCAAGATGCCAGATACAGGGTAAGGATGTGTCTGGGTTGGAAGTGTGGGCCCCTCACTCAGCAGCTGTGGCCTCTGAGTCAGACCAGCTTTGTTCCAGATGTCTGTCTTGGTCCCAGGGCCTGGCTTGCCATATCTCTCCTCTCCTACATACCCTCTGCCCACCCAACTCTCTCTATCCTTCTTTCTCCCCACCAAAACCTGTTTCCAGAAGAAGGCAAGGCCAGGCAAGCCCTAGCACTCTGGGGAGTAAATGATGAAGTTGCCCCAGACGTAAGAGGAGAAACTAAGAGGACCCATCAGACTCAAACCAAAGAGGGGAAACTAACAGTGTAGTTTGGGGCCCCCAACTCCTGGGACCCCAAGATACCCTCAAACTCATTTTACCTCCTCTCTCCCCCTGAGGGAAAGGGCGAAGAGCCACCTCCAGCCCACAAGGCCCAGCCTGCTCACCCATGGCCCCCCCGGGACACAAACATCTCGTGGAAAGGGAACTGCCGGTGCAGGTCACGCTCAATCACATCCAGCCACTTGGGGTCCCCGGGGGACATGTCCAGCTCCTGGAAGCAAGGTCAAGAGCATCTCTTAGGAGTTAGGGATGGCTAGGAGGATACAACTGTCCCAGGTTTTGGAGGAGCACCCACCACCAGGGAAAATGTCCACCCGATCCCATCAGAGACTGGGTCTTCCCAAGGACAGGTCAGAAAGCTTGGGCAGGGGCAGAGACAAGCAGAGCAGAGTCCTGGAAACCCTGACAGGTGATCCAGGCTCCAGGAAGACCAGTGTGGGTAAGAGTGTCCATCATAGCTGTGGCTTGAAATAACCTCTAGGCACTTCCTTCAGGACTCAGACACCTTATGTTACACCCTTAAGATGGAAGGCGACTATCAAAGCAATGGCTACCACCTGGAAGCACCACTCTGAGCACAGTTTAAGACGGCACCCGTGGGCCTCACTGACTGTCCTCCTCAACCCCCAAAAGGCAGGTCCTATCATTACACTGTTCACAGATGAGGAAACTGAGGATCAAAGAAAAGCTACTTGCCCAATGCCTCGTGGTTAGAAAAACGGTGTTGCTGGGCCTGGAAGCCAGGTTGACTCAGAGCTGTCAATCCCAACTCCTCTGCTGCCCATCTCCCTGTACAAGTGGTGCCACATATTCAGGAAGGTGTGTGTGTGTGTGCCCTGCTGCACTGAACACTGTAATGACACCTGTCAAACCATTAGCCTTGGAGCTATCTCTGGGTGCTGGGGTTTCAACAAACTTTTACTCTTTTCTTTGAACTTCCGTGAGCATTTTAGCATGAGTTCCATTTATAAAAACAAAGCTACTACACACAAAACAGTCACTACTTGGTCATTTGAAATGTTCTATATCTTGACTTGCTTGTTGGTTACATGGGTATTTATTATTTGTCCAAACTCTGAACTGCATGGTCAAGATCTGTGCATTTTACTTTACGTAAGTTCATACCTCAACTTTAACCAAAGAAAGAAAAAAATCAACAGGAAGGAAACCTAGAGGGCTGAGCAGAGAAGCAGACAAAGTACTCATAGCCTGCCATGCTGGGAAGTGTCAGGAGAGGCCCCCAGGAGGAAGGCTGGGTCCTCAGCAAACACATGGATGGGTACCTGCCCAGCAGGT